CACTATATGAGAGAAGATGTAGGTCTCCCATTGGGTGGTTTGATGCATTTGAAGTTAGACCTTGGGGTACTGACCTTCTGAGGGAATCGTTAGATAAAGTGAAATCTATTCAAGAAAAGCTTCTAGCGGCGCAAAGTAGACAGAAGGAGTATGCAAATCGGAAGGTTAGAGACTTGGAGTTTATGGAGGGTGAACAAGTCTTGTTGAAGGTTTCACCGATGAAAGGGGTGATGCGGTTTGGTAAGCGAGGTAAACTTAGCCCAAGGTATATTGGTCCATTTGAAGTACTTAAGCGAGTAGGGGAGGTGGCTTATGAGTTAGCCTTGCCTCCAGGGCTGTCCGGAGTGCATCCGGTATTCCATGTGTCTATGTTGAAAAGATACCATGGGGATGGAAACTACATTATCCGTTGGGATTCAGTTTTACTTGATGAGAATTTGTCTTATGAGGAGCAGCCTGTTGCCATTCTAGATAGAGAAATTCGCAAGTTGAGATCAAGGGAGATTGCATCCATCAAAGTTCAATGGAAGAATCAACCCGTTGAAGAAGCCACTTGGGAGGAGGAGGCAGATATGCGAGAAAGATACCCACATCTGTTTACAGATTCAGGTACTCCTTTTCGCCCTTGTTTTCCTTCTTGTGATCGTTCGGGGACGAACGATGGGTAAATTGGTATCTATTGTAACGACCTGTTTAGTCGTTTTTAGCAGCAGATTTTATTTCTGGAAAAACAGGGTGAGGCGACGGACCCCACGACGGACCGTCATGGGCACGACGGACCGTCGCAGGGTCTCGTTTCAAAACACTTAGAAAAATCTGAAATTGGGTACTCAAAATCGACTCTCTGAACTTCGTGACGAAATGGCAGGACGGACCGCCACAGGCGTGACGGACCGTCACAGAGTCTTCAGTGAAAATCCAGTCTCTGAACCTTGCAACGACCTACAGGACGGACCGTCGCAGGCACGACGGGCCGTCGCAGGTTGCGTAATCCCAGTCTGGGTCGGATTTCTTATTACGTTTTAAGGGACGTTTTTGACTATTCCTTTAATTATAAAGTTAGTGGGTTAATGTTAATAAGTCTAATTACTTGGGGGGTTAAAAGAGGTAACCCTAAGTTAATTAGTGGGTTATTATTGCCATATTTTATTCTTAATTATATACTAATTAGGGTAAAAGAAAGAGGGTTTGAATAAAGAAAATAGAAAGAACAAAGAGAGAGAGAGGATTGATCGAGAGAGGAGAAACGAAGAGGAAAACACAAAGCTTTGGGAATTTGCTTGCTTGATCACTAATTTTCGGTGGAGGTAGATTATGGTTTTCATGCTATTCGTAGTAAACTCTTAATAGCGAATGATATGTATTGATAGTATTGTAAAACCCTGCTATGTGTTTAATTGTATGCTTGCATGAACGTGATTATATAATTGTGATTATATTAAGCATGATGAAGCTATTGAATTCCAAATCTTGATAAAAACCTAATCTCTTGTTAATGATGATGTCTTGGTAAGGGAGAAGCTTGATGAACTAAAGTAATGAGATTGATGATGTCTTGGTATAAGAGAAGGCTTGATGAATTGATAGAATGAGATTAGGGGATCGGGTGTCACGAACCGACACGTAGATTTAGGGGATCGGGTGTCACGAACCGACACGTAGATTTAGGGGATCGGGTGTCACCAACCGACACGTAGATTTAGGGGATCGGAGTGTCACGTTCCGACACATAGTAGCAGGGGATCCGAGTGTCACGTACCGACACAAGCGGATTAATGAATATGAGGGAGCGGAGTGTCACGTACCGACACAAGAGAAATAAAGATAATGAATCTTGAAAGATGTTAATATACTCAATCTAATGAACATAATTCCCAAATGAGTATGGTATTGAGGCTTGAGTCCTCATGTGTGAACTTGACGGTAATTGTTAATGATATAGTACTTGCTGTTGCTACATGTTGAGTATCATAGTTGATTTTATGATATTACTTGGTATATATTGTTTTTCTATTTTGAGTTGGCCGATGATATCTATTCAGTACCCGTGTTTTGTACTGACCCCTACTTTTATTGTTTTCTTCTTGTTTTAATTGTGGAGTGCAGCAAACGTGTCGTCATCTTCGACTCAACAGTAACTCTAGCCAGTCTTCATTACTCCGGATATCAGGGTGAGCTAATGCTTCTAGCTTGGACTGGATCTTCCTCTTCATGTCTTGATGCCTTGAAGTTCTGGCATGGACTAGCTTTTATGTATTTTTAGCTTCTTAGAAACTCTTAGATTTAGTAACTTGAAGTAGATGTTCTTGTGATGATGACTTCCAGATTTTAGGGATAATAATAGTTATTGAATTGATTTTTATTAATGAGTTTAAGTCTTCCGCATTACTTTCTGTTGATATTATATTGAAATGTTAAAGTTTAGATTGGTTGGTTCGCTCACATAGGAGGGTAAGTGTGGGTGCCAGTCGCGGCCCGGATTTGGGTCGTGCCAGATTCAAACTTTAGTTCTTCATGTTCCAATTAGGATGATGTTGATAAAATCCAAAAGGGTATACAAATTGAGTGTGTGTTAGTAATTTTTACCTCAAAAGATCCAATCTTTGATTTTTTACACTTTGTTCTTCTTTATTAACTTTTGCCTCAAGAATTCCTTAATGAGTTGTTGAAAAATTCATTAGGTTCAGACAGGGGCATATAGTAATATTATGAGGATTGAATTCTGAATTGAAAAGTTTAAAGATTTGTTCTTTAATAAGTGAGAATGGATAAATGGTAATGGGTATATGGAAATGGGTTAATCAGGTTATTTCTTAAACGGGTCGCGTTATCGGGTTGAATAGGAAATAGTTTTTTAAAAAAACAATTGGATAATTGGGTCAATTTCGGAGATTCCGTCAAATGAGAGGTAATTTTAACTTTATTTTAACGAGGAGAGATAAATTTAACTTTATTTTAATGACGAGGGTAAAGTTAAACAAAACCAAAGTTGAGGGATATTTTTGACCTTTTTCCCTAAAAGAAATGTTAAAGAAACTTAAATAAAAATCTATAAATATGAAAATACGAAACTAAAATACGTTATAATATAAAAAGATGTTACTTAAATGGAGGACTAATAATGAAAAGGGTAAAAGAGATCTTTTACTAGGACAAAAGCGTGAAAAAGACTATTTTTTATACTGAAATGTGAGTTCGATTTTCAAATCAAAGTTGGAGGGATAAATGATTTTCATCCGTTTCATAATACTATTGTAGCGATCGTTTATTAATATATAAGAATAATACAAAATAGAGTACATTAATACTAGTAATACTTGCATAGTTATGCAAACATTATTTCTTATACATTGTTCGAATTGATGAATTAGAAATAGCAAATCTTGCATAATTTCAATTAAAAAATATATGTCTACAAATATACCCTTCACACTTTATTTAATTGTATTAAACATACACACTTCACACTTTATTTATTTGTACACTTTCTCTGCGTCAAAGTTCTTTGCAAAAATATCATAAAGTTCTTTACTAAAACATCATTAGTAACTCCCTTTTTTTTTCAAAAATAATATTAATTAGTCATACTATTGCGTCAAAATATTTCTGTGAAAAATTGACAAATAATTTTATCAAATTTATAGTCATAATATTAAAAACTTTGATTAAATTATATTGAAATTGAATTTAATTGTTTTTAAAAAAAAGATACTTAAGAGTGAGGTCATAAAACCTATTAAGACACCAAAAAATTAAGAGACACCAAAAAGAAAATCAAAATAAAAACAAAAACTTACGACAACAAAGAAATAAAAAGGCTATAAAGACAAATTTATAATTATTTAATCAAATGCAAGTGTTAAAATTATGTATTACTAATACTTAGAATTTCTTGATATTACTAGTACACAAGTTAATACACAATAATGTATAACTAATGCTTGTATACATGACATGAAAAATGATACCTACTACATGCATTATATTTTCTAATACACTAGTGTATACGCTATGAGCGTGCATCTATGCTAAAGTGTATGATTTTTCTTTTAAAAAGTTCCTATCAACATTTTGTTTAGGGATTTTAGTTAATAAAACAGCCGATCTCAAGATAACTTAACAAGGAGGAAATATATTAATACTTGATTGACCTCATATTCCAGCTAACATTTAAATTTTAGACAAAACACTATTAAAAAAGAAGCAAAATATCATTTAATTTGTATATGTGATTTTCTTAATGCTGTATACAGATTACTACGGGTACACGCGCAAAGAGCATGCCTACCTACAGTTGTATCTGAAAGATCGATCAATCATAAAATTTATTTTCGTTTCAACTTCTCATTTGTATGGTGTGCATCTAACAGCACTAGCATATCATCAAACTTCTTTACAGCCTTGCATGTTTCTTACCTAAAGATAACAATAAAACAAGTTCATTTATTTTTTATCAAGACCAGTAAATCGAGTTTATGTAACCTTGACATAAACTTGAAAAGCATATAGGGAATATAACCTTGATACTCACCGCTTTGTTTTATCAAGCACTTCGATATATTTTTTTGGGACACCATACTGTTCAACAAGGTATCTTGCAAGATCATCAATAACTCCTCCTTGAACCAAAACTTCTTCACCTTTCTTACCTAAAATAAAATTAAGAAGTTACATACCAATTGTATATCTCCCCCTTTAAAGTGAACATACTGACAGCAAAGTTCATATGCAAATATTTTTATGACAAATCAGAAAAACATACAGATACTCCAAAAGCACACAATATTTCACATCATTAAGTGATCGGATAATTATGCATCCAATCATAAATCAGTTTGAATCAACTATTATCTTACATGTGTTTCTAGCACTACACACTGGAAAATTTCAGCGGATGATAGAAATTGCTTTGGCATGTCTTTCACTTAACCCATGCATAGTATTAAACTCCACATCAGAAAAACTAGAGTATAAATTATTGAATTATCAAGCTCTATTTTCTGACGAATTGAAACTTGAGCGCTAAACTCCTTCAGAACAACCTATTCCCATAAGTTCACCATGGAAATAGCAAAGACTACAACACTAGGTTTATACACACTAACATATTAAAACAAAAAACTAAACACACATATTGATGCAACAAGACAAGTGTCATCCCTTTTTAACAGGAATGATTCCTATCCCTGCTAAATGATATCCTCTTCCGATGGTCTCAAATGAGACAGTACCATCTCCTTTCAACTATGACAACATACATGTAAGCGAGAAATTGAAAGACAGCACTTGAGCGAATATATAAGCATAGAAAGTTGTAATGGCTCATCGTCATCAAAAGAGTGACATTATGCATCTTTTAATAGTTTTCAAAAAGCCTCTATGCAATTGCAGATTTCTGTAGGTTCAAGGCTAAATCTGACCAGCTGAGCAGCAAATAAGCAATGCAAGCCACACCATGAGATTCATAAACTAATGAAGATAATTGTCACAAGTGCTATGAAGTATAAACCAACGGAGGTCAAAGAAGATATCATAAAGCACATCTGAGAGCCGCCATTCTAAAACCACTGAATAATCTAAAAAGAGGGTCATATACAGCTGCTAAGAATATAAAACAGACCTGGAAGTTCTGCCACAGTAGTGCTACAGGCACACTTCTTCTGCAACTCTGAAGCCAGAGTCTCTGCATCCAACAGAAATGACTCCATTCCAGAAAGTTTAGTCACTTTCTTGTTCCCTTGCCTCCGCTCTGTCATTATCTGGATTGGCTTCAAGGCTCCTTTGCGAACAACTGTATCGTTTCCTCTAGTCACACAATGATGTGCTTGCATCCTACCAATAAATGTTTGCCCCAAATCCTTCTTATGAATTTCAGTTGGATAAGTTGATCCCTTTTTTATGGCTCCCTTAAATAAAGCATCACATAGAGTTGCATCTAACGTCACAGTGGACTTATTCGATGGCTTGACAAGATTTTCTTTCTCAACATACTGGAACACTATTCCAGAGGTTTCAGATGCAGTGTAAAGTCTGCTAGTTTCAGCACCAACAGAAGCGAAAATGGGATTTACATGCACACTTGGTTTATAAATCTCAGAAACTTCCAGTGACTTCTGTACCCGTTCTTCAGAAGAAACATTATTTGTTGAAGGCCCGGTCTTGTCCACTTTTTTCTTTTCTGGCTTGTAGGACATGTAGTCTGGATGATTTCTATTAACATAGAACAGAATCACCTCTTTCTTATGTTTATCTTCTTTCACTGAGATCTGTACATGCCAATGGTAAGTTTGGAAAAACAATTAGATAATATGAAACACCATGCGAAGGTAAAATCAGAAACAATATGGATGCAAGAAGCATCAAACAACGAAATGGGGACACATTTTGCCATCAAGTCATGAAACAAATTTCTCACACACTTAACGACACTGAGAACTAGCTTTTGGGATGAAAATAATGAATATATAAGACCCTGACATGTGGCTTACAAGCAAGCAAACCTTCACAAGACATATGTCATATCAAAAAGCAAAATGCAGAAATAGCGCCAACAAGAAAGGTATGAAAGCAAATGCAAAATACACTATTCCATATTTTGGCAACGGTTGTGACATTGTTTGCCATAGAAAATTTTCAACAATCTCTTGCCAACTTTCTGTTGCCGCAGGACTATCTTCAATATTTTGCACCTGCCACCATCAAAGAGAAGATGAAAGTTCTTACTAACATCTTTCTTCACTCTCTCCCAAGTCCCAACTTCAGTGAGAAAAAAAGAGGATGGAAGTTTCTACAGATACTTATTCGTTCAGCAAAAGAACAGTCTTTACCTACTAATAACTCTCTGCATTTGATTTGAAGTTAAGCAGAAGTGCAGCTAACCATGAAGAGTGCTACTACACCAGTCATCAATGTCATGGAAAGTGGCAATATCAGTATCATCCTTAACTAAGCATGACGAGCAAAACATATACAACTATGTGCACACAAATATATGGCTACACCGCAAGAACAACTTGCTGCATCTCTTATGATGTGTAAATGTAACTGTCTATATGAATTCAACCAAATCATCCATGTAATGCAATAGCAACTTTTCAACTGTATGCAACAGTTTTGAAAAAAAATCAAAATTCCATCTTTCATATTAACTGTAGAAAGCTACCAATCCACCAGAGGCTTTAGCCTGTAGCCACTTGGACAATTTCTTGTGAGATGACTTCTTTATGTCGAGTGTTATGCCTGGAGGCCTGCAAGGTAGCACGTGACTTGACCTACACCAGCAAAATGAAGCCATTGGTAAGTATCTAAGGAACACAAGAAGTCGCAGATAATTACACAGAACATAAAGAGAACCTCAAGAAAGGAACTCAAGAAGAGGAAATACTAATTTATTAGGCCAGCTTCTGGTTTCTTCATGACAACAGCCATGAAGTGAACATTGCCTAGTGGATGTACTGGTAGCTTTTATACGCAGGTGCCTCGCAAATCCTAGTGGTGTTCTGTATGCTTTTTCGGCATTAGTTCTTCCTTCATTTCATTTTATCTGGGCACTATTTAGTGGGGCATGAAGCTCAAGAAAGAAAGGAGACTTTTGAAACTTGTGGTCTTACACATTCTATGACATTTTGAGGCTACAAAAACATGTCATTAAGGCTAAAATTGTAAGTTTCAAATTACTGTTTCCAAGTACAGAAAGTTGCAAGTTTTTTGGAACATACTAAAAAGAAGAAAGTGTTCCATAAAAGGGAACTAAGGGAGTAGTCAATGGAAGCCTTATGTAAAATGCCATTCACAAATTCTAATAGTGTTATCTCCATTTTTTCTGCACAAGCTCACTTCAATATAACATTACACATACTGTCCAATTGTCTAGTTTAATACGCCTAAAAAAATAACCATTTATCGTAGTGGTAGAAAAAAAAATCTGCATCAAACATGTAACTGTAACATTTTCCATTGACAAGGATACTGGAAATATTAGAAAGACTCTTTTGAAATTTAGATGCTGAAAAATCCGCAAAGTAAATAAATTTAGTACCAAGTGGTGAAGAATAAAGTGCATTACCCTTAAGTTCACTGCCTGAAAACATAAATTCTCTTTTTTCTTTAATTTTATTACATGAAACCAAATTATTTTAGTATAAGATAGGTAGATTTCAATAAAAGTTTGGTAGCTATCGTACCAAAATGTACTTCCAGGGATGGGCAGGTCTTTCTCTTTAATTGTCGTATGTAATGCTTGTAGAAGGCACTTGTCCAGGAGTGCATCTACCTCTTCAACACACAAGGAATGTTGTCCCTCGGTATTTGATTCATCTGCATAAGTTTCTGCAACCTTCAACTCACTTAGATCACTAGTAAGCTGCAAAGTAATTTCATCTGCTCCGTCATTCTGTGTAGTAGAAGGCTGACCAACACTTGATGAAGCTGTATCAGCATCAATCGCTTCTCTCATGTCTTCATTGCTAATCATATTTCCTGGGTCAACTGAAGGATCAACTTCACTTGAATCAGATGCCCTACCACTCAAGGAAAGAGCAGGATCTTCAAACACGACGTCTTCCAGAAAACCAGCATTTGGTACATGACAATTTTCAGCAGATTCCCTGACCAAAATCCAGAAAAAGGTGACATCTACAAGTTGTACAGATTAAACTAACGTCATTAAATTTCTTAGTAGGCCTGGACATGGCATTAGTTGATATTTGAAAAAAAAAAAGAGATTTATGAAGTTGATGTTGAAAAATGGTATTAGGAAGTTCATGTTGTATTTGGACACACAATTCACTTGAAAGAAGTTACACAAGTTTTGAAAAGCTCATTTAAAAACTCATTACATTCCATAACCAAACAATGTTCTGAAATTAAAAATTTATGTCCAAACAGCTCCTTAGTTCCTACCAAAGGGTGTCTCGATAGTAATGACATATTTTTAAGGCCTTTCCACGTAGACCAGCTTTTAAAGCTTCTGTACTACTCATGGTAGTTGTCCCCACCTGAGGAAAAAAATTAGCATAGTTCAAATTGAGTAGTCATCTAAATTAAGAGATAAAACCTTGAGGTGCCATAAGCTTACAGCTATTGCGGCAGGATTTCCAGGAACCTTCACTGCCCATGGCTCCCCAGAAGAAAATGAGGGGAACCCTTCAGTAGGTATACTGATACCAGGGAACATTAAATCTGCCCCTCCGAGCATAAAACGAGAAACTTCACCCCCTTTCAGCACAAAAGCAGGCAAAAGTTCTGGGACTCTCCACAGAGCATAAACTGTACTCACCACACAGAAGGGAGAAGAACAAAAATGAAAAGCACATCTAATTAAGGAAAATGGTAAGTTACAAAATTCTGTCTTGTCAAAGAAGCAATCAATCACAGTTACTGCATAGAAAACATGCCTAACAGGACCTTCCCACTTAAAATTTTTGAAAATGTCAAATCACCAGCTAGTTATTGTTAAAACTCCATAACTGGAGCTGTTCTAGAAGCTACTACTGAAGAAAGCTAACTGAAGAAGAGAGAACTAACTGTAATTTTATTTCTTCTGTTTTCACTGTTATATTGAGATAGTGAACTGCCCTATTTATAGACTTTGTTCACACATTAGGCATGTTCATCTTTACACATTAAATGGCTTACTTGCCCTCTAACTAACTTCTAACAGACTTGATGATAGTTAACTAACTCTTAATACATCAAATTGCATCTCTAGATTCAACACTCCTCCTCAAGCTGATGGCTTGAATATGTCTCTTAGTCCCAGCTTGCTTATCAAGTATTCATGTTGAACTCTTCCTGACCCCTTTGTGAGTATATCTGCTAGTTGTTCTGTTGTAGATACATGGTCTGTTCTAATTATGCCTTGACTGACTCTTTCTCTTACAAAATGGCAGTCGATATCTATGTGCTTGGTTCTCTCATGAAATATAGGATTAGCAGCAATTTGAATTGCAGCTTTGCTATCACATTTCAAGTCTATAGGTTGTTGAATATGAACTCCCAACTCTTTGAACGGCCCTGTCAACCATGTAAGTTCTGCAGTGCATGCAGCCATCCTCCTAAATTCTGCTTCTGCTGAACTTCTGGACACAGTTTCTTGCTTCTTGGCTTTCCATGAAACCATAGCTCCTCCAAACTTCACCAGATAACCTGTGACTGACCTCCTCGTTTCTAGACAAGCACCCCAATCTGAGTCACAGTAAGCTGATAGTTGATTGCTGTTCTTAGCAGGCATGAATAACCCCAAACCAGGTGTACCTTTGATGTATCTTACTACTCTAAGTGCAGCATCCATATGAGACTTCTTAGGGCAGTGCATATATTGGCTGAGAACTTGCACTACAAATGCTATATCAGGTCGGGTCATAGTTAGGTATAGTAACCTTCCCACTAGTCTCTGATACATAGCAGGATCTTTTAGTTCATCATCACCAGTTGCTGCCTCATGCTGTATAGCTTTGTCATATACCACAGATGTCAGTTTCAGATTGGTTTCAAGTGGAGTGTTGGCTGGCTTTGCTCCACTTAAGCCTGCTTCTGATATTAATTCTAAAGCATATTTTCTTTGACACAGTACTATTCCCTCATGTGACCTTGCAATTTCTATTCCCAGAAAAAACTTAAGTTCTCCAAGATCCTTCACTTTAAACATTTCTTGCATATCTTTTCTAACTTGATTTATCAGTTCCTGATTGTTCCCAGTAACTAGAAGATCATCCATATAGACAAGAATGTACACCAATTTCCCTTCTGTCTTTTTGTGAATAATGAATAATCATAATGGCTTTGAGTGAATCCCATCTGGACAAGAGCATCAGTCAATTTTTTATTCCATTGTCTTGGAGCTTGTTTTAGTCCGAACAATGACTTGTGAAGTTTGCAGACCTTCTTAGACTCCCCCTGTCTAACAAACCCTTCAGGAATCTGCATATATACTTCCTCAATGAGATCACCATTGAGAAAGGCATTGTGAACATCCATCTGATAAATGCACCACTGATTGGAGGCTGCAAGAGCAATTAGAGACCTTACAGTGACCATTTTTTCCACAGGGGAGAAAGTTTCAGAATAATCCAACCCAGCCTGTTGACTGAACCCTTTTTCCACCAAACGTGCTTTATACCTTTCCACTTCCTCTGAGGCTTTATACTTCACCTTATAAATCCATTTACAACCAATAGGAGTTTTACCAGCTGGGAGGTCTACAATGGACCAAGTATTATTATCCTCAAGCGCAGCAATCTCAAGTTTCATAGCAAAAATCCAGGAGGGGTCTTGGACAGCTTGATTAAAAGAGGTAGGTTCTTGAATGGAAGAAAAAACTGATAGCGCATGTCGAAAAGATTGAGAGAGGTGAGAGTAGGACACATAGGAAGACAATGGATAAGAACAGGCGTTGGATAAAATGAAGTCATTCATCCAGGCAGGAGGATGTTTGGTTCTGACTGATTTTCGAAGTTCAACAGCAGGGTTAGGAACAAGTTCAAGTTCAGGTTCAGGTTCAGGTTCAGGTTGAGTAGCTTGGGAATTAGAAGATTGAGGAACCTCTAGAATAATTGACTGAATGTTGGCCTCAAGAATAGGAATATCCAGAACTAGAAATAGAGGAGTGTCAACTGACTTAACATTAGTGAAAGGGAAAACTGACTCTTGAAACACTACATTCATACTGGTGAAAAAAGTTCAGGAGTAGAGGTCATACAATTGATAGCCCTTCTGAGTTAAGGCATAGCCCATAAACATAGCAGGAATGGCTCTAGCAGCAAATTTGTCAGAGGATTTGGTAGTAGAGGCATAGGTGAGGCAGCCAAAGACTCTGATATGAGATAATGAGGGGGGTTGATGATATAAGAGTTCATAAGGAGACTGAAAATGTAGAAGTTTGGATGGAATTCTATTGAGAAGATAGACTGCAGTGGTGACACATTCTCCCCAGAACTGTAAGAGAAGGGAAGCTTGAAATCTGAGTGATCTAGCTATACCTAAAATGGTTCTATGTTTTCTTTCTACAACTCCATTTTGTTGTGAAGTGTAGACACAGGAACTTTGATGAACTATGCCAAGGTGAGACAACAAAGATTTAAACTCATGACTGAAAAATTCACAAGCCATTGTCTGTTCTCAACACTTCAACAGAAGTAGAGAATACATTGTTTATTTCTGTAAGAAACTTTCTGAGTACAACAATGTCTTCAGTTTTAGACTCTATTAGAAACAGCCAGGTAAACCTAGTAAAATCATCTACTACTGTGACAAAAAACCTCTTGCTATCATGAGTTGGAACTCTATAGGGACCCCAAATGTCACAATGTAACAATTCAAATGCAGACTTAGACCTAGAACAACTCAAAGAAAAAGGAAGTTTTGTGTGTTTTGCCAAAGGACATACAAGACATATATGACTTATAGATTTGAGATGTCTGAGACTTGCATGTTTCTTGATGACTTCTAGAGGTGCATGTCCCATTCTCTTATGCCAGAGAATGCTAGACTTTGATAAATGTTGAGCAGTGTTGACACTCTGGTTGTGTGAAAGTGAAGGTTGCGGTGTTTGAGAAATAGTGCTGCTCTGGAGAATGTATAATCCATGATCTTCCCTACCAATCCCCTTCACCATGCTAGTGGAGAGATCCTGGAAGATGCAGAAATTAGGAAAAAAAGATATTGAACACTGTAATTCCTTAGTTAGTTTGGAAACTGAGAGTAGATTAATATTAAAATCAGGTAGGACTAGAACATTGGATATAGGATGACTATTGAGGATACTTGAATTGCCTTTATGAGTTACAGAGACGACATTTCCAGTAGGTAGATAATCTTTGTTCTTCTCAGGGTTTAAAACAGCATGACAGTTATATAACAGCCCAAGGTCTGAGGTCATGTGATCAGATGCACCTGAGTCTACAATCCAGCTAGCATTTACATTAGTCAATGGTGAAGTATTCACAATACCTGCATTTGCCGTTTGAGTGGTGTCTGTCTCCTCATTACCTTTACCTAACATCAACAAATTTTTTGGTACTGCTCCTGAGTGAAATGAGGAGGGAGTGGTTGTTGCTATTGTTGTTGTGAGGTACTTGCATGAGATGAGCTTCCTGGACTGAAGCTAGGCTTAGAAAAATTCATATCATAATCCAGCTCTTCACAATTGATCACTTGCTAAGCAAACTGTCCTCCCACTTTCTTCTTAGACTTAGGCCAGTCTGGAGGGTATCCAATCAGCTTATAACAGTTCTCTTTTGTGTGCCCATTGTAACTGCAGAATTCACACACAAGTGTGTGTTTCCATGGTGGTCTGACAGTGTTGTTAGAGGGCTGTCTATTGAAGTAGTTACCACCAAAATTAGTGTGTCCAGAGTTTATGCTACCTCCACCATGACTGGCAGAGTAAATATTGCCTCCACCATGACTAGTACCTGCTCCATCATGACTAGTACTGCCTCCAATGACAACAGCTTTCCCATAGTTTCCTCTCAGATTAGAACCTCCTTTGTTACTAAAAAATACTGCTCCTTCTAACCCATCAGTGACTGACTTCACATGTGAGTTGGTTAATGCTCTTCGACTTTCATGATCATTGATCAAGGAATATGCTCTATTTAGTGTAGGAGTGGGAGTCATCATCAGTATTTGGCTCCTACACTGATTAAATGTCTCATTGAGTCCCGTTCGAAACCTTAAAAGTCTTTAGTACTCATGATGATGAGAGTAGCTTCTCGACTCAGGACAATGACATCCTGGACAGGGCATAATTGCATTGAACTCATCCCAAAGTGTTCTCATTCTCAAAAAGCAATCAGAAAGAGACATAGTCCTTTAGTAAGAATAACAATTTCTCTATGCAAGTAGATAACTCTAGCTGCATTTACAGTGTCAAACCTCTCCTTTAAGTCCAACCAAACTTTGTGAGCATTTGATGCATAAATGATACTACTTAACAGTTCCTTCTTAACAGCATTCATGATCCATGACAGGACTACTGCCTTAACTTTCTCCCACTGTTCATGTAGTGATGCATCGAATTAATCTTTGGTGTACCGACCATTAACGAATCCTAATTTACTTTTTCCTAGTAAACCTAGAGTCATAGATCTACTCCACAGAGCATAGTTCTCAAATCCAATTAACTGCAGAGAGATTAGCGAACTACCTGGAGTGTCATTTGGATGAAGAAATAAGGGATGATTGTGATCGATATCCATTCTACCAGAACCAGTTGATCCGATTGGAGCTGAAGTTCCAGATCCTTCTTCTATCACCATTGATAAACTACTTCTAAGCTAGCTCTTCTCGATTCACTGAATTTTGTTGGATCGAAGTTCTGTCCTCGACCACAGTCTGAATCTCAGTGAGCTGATCGAAGCTCTGACACCATGGTAAAACTCCATAACTGAAGCTGTTCTAGAAGCTACTACTGAAGAAAGCTAACTGAAGAAGAGAGAAAACTAACTGTAATTTTATTTCATCTGTTTTCACTGTTATATTGAGATAGTGAACTGCCCTATTTATAGACTTTGTTCACACATTAGGCATGCTCATCTTTACACATTAAATGACTTATTTTCCCTCTAACTAACTTCTAACAGACTTGATGATAGTTAACTAACTCTTAATACATCAGCTTGCATCTCTCGATTCAACAGTTATAAGCAGCCAATATACTGCAAAAGGGAGAGTACCGAATCAATGCTTCATACAAAAAATCGAAGACACTCTCCCTTGGCAATAAAAGCAAACACAATACAGTCAATCAAAAAACTACAACTCAAACCAAACTGGTTAGATCTGCTATACTGCTAGTCCACTTTATTCCATCTGATTTGATCCCAACAATAAAGTAAGATGTCTTCCAAGAGATAATAGGGTGTCTCAAAGTAAAGGCTCTCAAAATCTAACACTTACATAGAATAACATACAATGTTTCTAATACACCAAAATGACTCTCGGCAAACACCAGAATGAGTTTAAGTGCAACAACAATTGATCAAAACTAGTCGGCAAATCACTTATATGAATCATTTGCATCCATCTTATTGTGTTACTCCATCGGGGACGGAGTTTAAGCAAGAAATGCTTTTGAAACTAGTAGTCTAAAACATAGATCATCTCATTAAGGGGTTATTTGGTAGAGTGCATAAGAATAATACTGGATAGAATGTATTAGTAATGTTGGAATTAGTTTTTCTATGATATTTTCTTATCCACTATTTGATTTGGTGTATTAATGACAATTTTGCCTTTAGCCATGCTCATCCATTTAATAAACTAATAAAGACCTCAAATTGTTGTATTGGTAGTATCATAATTTGTTATACATTAGTTAAACACAACAGAGTTACACAGTTGTTGAATTAGACAAGGGAAGTAAAACTCAGAAAAAAATGGAGTATAAGACCATCATGTATATAGTGGTCCATATGGAAGGAGAGAAACAATAGGGGCTTTGAAAACAAGGCTAACCCTTTTGAGAAGGTCAATTGTTGTGTATGACAAACTTTAATTGTTGGTGTGAAGAAGGCATAGAATAGAATGCACAAATAATACTTTATGGGAAACATGTAATCAAGTACATGTTTATTGTTGTTTGAAATGATCCAACTCAATTTTTGGAGGTCTTCAGCATGTAGTTAATGTTGATGAATACAACTATACCATTATCAAGAAAAAGTTATATACCATATAATATTGAGTAGGTGTATAACTATAACTAATAAAGTAGGCTGGAAACGCTACCAAACAAAGGAGTAAAAAATTACCATGAGTACTGTTGAATCCCGTTGAAAAACTGACCTAAGCGACATGGAGAATCTGCTAGGGAATATAGGCTTTAACCATACCGTGTTTTGTGTGGGATCGTCTTTTTCTTTGTGTGTGTGGCTTTATTTTTTTATTTATTTATTTACTCATTCCATGTTTAATCCCGTTCCTATTTCCCATTTTTTGTTTCCTTAGATTTTAGATTTGTAGCTCCATGATTATATCCTCTACTTTAACAGCCTTTTATGCTTGAGTTTTCTTTTGCCATGTTTATCATATGTTACGTTTTGCAATTTACTTCATTGCATTAAATTAATTGCTCATATGCCAAATTCTTTCCCTCTATCCTTTATATGTTTAGTGTCAATAATGGTCTACTCTTGGCCGCCTTATGATCCAAGTCGGTACCGGCAAAGATCTCTTCATTCCTTGCAGTCGGGCCGTCTAGGAAGCAACCTTTATATAGAAAAACTGCATTTTCTATATTTATATATGTGTTTTATTTTTTGAAGAATTTATTTGTACTTTTTTTTTGCAAGTTCATTATTCATTTATTTTATGATAAGGAAAACCCGCAGTCGCTATCCTTTGGATGCGCACAAGATAGAAACTCTGCTCCTATGCAATAGCTCGCAAACCACACAGGAGAGGTACCCGCACCAGGCGACGAGCTCGACCCAGAAGGCAAACCCCTTGCTTTTGCTGGCAAAGGATTTCGAACTTTGAGACCTCCATTATGGAAGTCCCAAGCTCAACCGCGCCGGAATACTTCAAATAAACACCATAGAAGAGCTTGAAGTTTAGGATTATCCCCATTTGTTATCCCGATGCCCTAGTTTCATCTATGTTTTTATCATATTAAAGTTGTAACAGTTACATTTACCAATAAATAGTTTGTTTTTCTAACTCTAAACTCTAAAAATATCAATAAAGCTTGGATTAACTAACCCAAATCACTTAGTTATCAAGAGAAAAGAACAAAATCCACTAATAAATACAACAGGCAGTAGCTCTTAAGGTCTACTCTCATGCCTCAGAAAGTAGGCCATCTAAAGGATGAGAATTGATTGTAAAGTTATTGAACAGACCAAAAATAGTTGTAGAAAAGGTAAGATATAATGGTACCTGTAGGGAAAATATCACGACCTCGCCCATCTACGTCAAAGAACATGGGGCATTCGCCCTCCAATCCATAAACAAGTACCCGATTTGGATATTTCGAAACAGATAACTCTGCCTGTATGATCCCATCAATACACAAGGATAAAGTTAAAGTAACTCCACAGAGTACACTTTGTTAAGTGCAATTCAATCAAAACAAAAAGTTCAAAATGAGAAATAATGTAGAAGAAAAAAGGAGTACTTTGGGAGGAAGTATAACGTCGAGAAGAGCATCAGAGGCATTGGAGAAACGGTCTCTGATAGTGCGACGGAGCTTTTTCCGGTCGGCGCCAGAAAGTCGCTGGTGAGACTTGGCGTCCACTGCCTTCTTGAACATTTTTCTCCTGCTATTATGGCGGCGGAAGAGAGAAGAGAAGTTATATAGGGAGGCTGTAGAGTGGGATGGAGTAAGGCGGTGAGGTACGGATTATAGGAGGAGTCCTTTGCTTTTTCTCCAAGCCTTGCTTAATTGACCACCTGCTCTTTTGAGAAAATTATGGGAAAGGTGTCAAATAAGTATAGTTTTTTTTTTTTTTTTTATAAATTGATCATCAAATTCTCTTTAAAATGTAATTAATTAATGATGAGATTAAATTAATATTTTTAAAAAATTTTAATCTATATATATATATATATATATATATATATATATAAATGAGTAACTTCATTCCGCTCATGTGGCATGCCTTAATGATAAAAAAATTTAGGGCTTTTAAAATTATTTATATATATATTTTACTATTAATTACTTATTTAATGAGAATAACACCTTCTTTTAAGTTGAGGAATTCCAAAAGAATATCATATTGTCTTAAACGTAAAAAATTATTTTTATAATATTTTTTTTCTAATGTCCATTTTCTACCTATTATTTTATAGTTTATTTATTATACTTTTTTTTGTTTTTATTATCATTGATATACCTTCTATTTTTATTTATTTTTAAAAATAAAAAAAATTATATATATAATAAAGTTAAATAAAAAATCGGGCGATATGGCAAATCTCAATCTCAATGGTCACCATTCATATTTATCTTTTTTTAATTTTTTTAAAAAATTTATTATTTTTTTATATGCTAAGTTAAAAATCACTTAAAATTATATTTTTAGTTACACCTCCCTCATTAACTCTTCTTTATTTTTCATTAAAAAAATTAGTTTATGAAACTCAAAAGACTATCGTTAATCCTCTAATAACTCCCCCTAAAGAGCTACTCTACAAAATAAAAGGATCGTTATCTTTCTTGTGTTTAATTATCATGACTTCATTTAAGACTGGCCAACGAAACGGGACGTACCGGTACCGTTCCGGTTCGTCCCGGTTCGGTTGTCTACGGAACAGGACGGGATAGTCTGAACCGGTACACGAAACGGGACGGAACCGTGATTTCGTATCGGTGTACCGCTATCGGTTCATCCCGGTTCCGATCCGGTTTACTTAATATATATTAATTTTTTTATATTTTATATTTTATATTTTATATAATTTATATTTATATTTTCTATAAATTATATTTTATATTTTATATAATTTCTATATATTAAAATTAATTACCCACCAATTATGATGGCATCGAACTTCAAGATCGTCAACGAGCTCTACCAAGACCAGAAGTTGATTACAATCAATCCATAGCTGAGTTAGAAAGAGGATTTACGGGACTATACAACTATTAGTATTACATTCGAGACTTAGTTGAAACAGAACCCTTCCTAAAAGGTGGCTGCGTAAACTATGTACTCTACAAATAGTTGTAAATTGAAAATGTAATTTGCTACAAATTTAAATAAATTAAATTGATATTTTTTAATTTTTGTAATTGTTTTATCCTTATTTCAATTTAATTTTTTTAAAATTACAAATTTTATTTATTTAATATTTACAAGACTCGAGTTATAAATATAACTTATAAAATAAATATTAATGAATATAAGTAATAACTTATAAAGTATAAACTTCAAAAGATTTAAATTTTGAAAACTTTATTAGACTTAACTTGCAAACTTAACAACAAAAAAATAATAATAAATATCTTTAAAATAAACTTAAGTAAAAAATTATAGTATAAATTTAAAAACTATTAATTTATAGTTAGAAAAATAAAAATAATAATTATATTTTCGTAATCCCAAAAAATATCGTCCCGTTTATCCCGTCCCGTTCCATCCCGGTCTGTTCCGGTTCATTTCGGTTCCATCCCGGTATATAGTGGAACGGGATGGAACCGATTACTCATCCCGGTAATTCCGATCCGGTTCATCCCGGTACCGGTCAACAGGTTCCGGTCCGGTCCGGTATCGGTTCATTCCGTTCCGGTGAACCGGTTCCGGTTCGTTGACCAGTCTTAACTTCATCTATCACTATATAAGTATCAGAAATACATTTAACATGTGACAAAAATTGCTATCATCTCAATGATTTAGGATATTATGGTTAAATATTTTTGTTTTAATGGGTTTTTTTTCAAATTTCCATTTTCATTTTTTACATGTACTGATTGGTTCCAACATATGGAGTCGAACTTCTATTTTTGCAGGTGTATGTTCAAAGGAGCATGTAAGAGGAGCGCAAGATAATCAAGATTAATTCGAGACTAAAGAAATATTTTTATCCTCCACATGATGAGTAACAAGTTTAATGTTGCTTCCCTAATTTTACATATATTAGTTGAAGTGCTTAAGTTTTTTGTTATTTTTTGTAAGTAATTTGTTATTTAAAGTTCATCACAAATTTTAAATATAAAGTTTTATTTCTATTAAACTATATGTACAAAAAAGTAAACTACAAATGTGTTATTTGATTTTCTGTTTTCAGCTTTCTTCTTATAATGTTATCGTAGGAGAAGTGATGTGGCATGCTTCTAAAGTCAAGAGTGACATTTATTTATTTTTCTCAATATTTGACATTTTCTTAATTTTTTACATTTATATAATTTATTTTAAAAACCTACAAATTATATATTACTTACATTAATTTAGAAAGCTCAAAAGTCATTATTATCTAAACTAAATAATTGACACATTTTAGATTTTACATTTTACATCCGTTTTGCTCATTTTTTCATGGGTGAATATTGAACCATAATTATAATCCAATTAAATTGAACAATTAATATATTCAATGTCTTATGTTTGTGTTTCTTTATGTTCTTTTATATTTCTTATTTATTTTTATGATTGTGAAACTTCACTTTTGCAAGTCGTTTGGTTTATACCTAAAGGTTAAAATGTCTAATTTTACACACACATAAAAAAAAGGTCAAAAAAAATTGTATGATATGTATATTAAGTTTGTTTAAATACATTCTTTATATGTTTTTAATATTATTGTATACTAAATTAGGGTAGATTAGTGTTATAACTCAGAGGAATAATATCAGTTTTTACTTTACAAATTTACATTTTTTATTTCTAATCAATATATAATATCCATGTCGAGTCCTTTTTCTTCACTATGATGCTGGGGAAGTGAATAAAGATTGGCTAGGAACCACAATAGTTGCTTTAAGAATGTCATTGATAATTAAGAATGTCATTGATAATGGATTCAACGGAATTCTTTTGATCAAATGAGTACTTGTAGGGTCTTAGATTGAAGGGTTGAGCTATAGGGATCAAATTGATGGCATGATCAGAACTTCTTTCATGTGGTAATTCACTTGGTTCCTGAAATATGACAACATGAGTCCTCAATAACATTGCTATACCAAGGTGTACTTCTTCCCTCTTTAGTATAACTACTCAAACATTATCCATTGAGAATTTAACAACTCCCTCAAATTTGCATATTGCATCCTCCTCCTTAATGCTTCAGTCAACCATGGTTACTTCAAATTCTTCTGTAATTTCATATAGAGTGACCATTCTTTTATCATACATGAAACTGAAACTGTGCGGCCTAGTATTCTGAATGACTGGAGCCACCATATCATCCATTCCATTCCAATGGTCATGTCATATCCTCCCAGTTTCATTAATCTCAGTTAAAATTAAGTTGTTCATTCTGCATTTTCCATCCAAAAGAAGGGCACTCCAGTTGACAACTCATTTGTTTCCCATTTGCAACTGTCACCTTTATAGGTCGTTGCATTGGTTGACCTGGCAACCTCAACTGTTTGACAGTGTGTTGATCAATAAAAGAATGAGTAGGTTCATTGTCAATGAGGATTGTCATAGGTCATTTTCTAGCATAGCCCATAATTTTAATGGTAGAGATTCTACCACTTGTGGTACTCAGACCCAACAAAGCATTTAGAGAATTCCTCCACTTCTTCTAGGGTCTCATTACATCAACAAATTCCTCTAGTTGTTCTCTTTCAAGTTCCACCTCCACCCCTTCTATAACATCTAAACTCATCTGTTTGCATCGATGTCCAGGAAAATACCTTTCCTTATATCTGTAGCACAGACCCTGTTCTCTCAATGCTTCTAAATTCTGTGGTAGAGTATTTGATTTGAATGGAGCTCGGGTTTGCAACGACTTCTGATTAGCGTAAGTAATTTTCATGTGTTGTTGAGAAGTAACATGAGGTTTACTGTTTGTGACTTGTGGATTTCAAGGGTATGTAATGGATAGAGGTCTTGTAGTAGTGGTTTGAAAAGGTCTGGCCGACACAAAAGGGAATGAGAGCCTTAAAGGATTCTTTATACAGTTTGGCTACTTCATCAGATTCCAACATTGTCGAAAGATTGGCAAGCTTTACTAGAGGATTAAGCTCAGATCTAATACTAATAAAGAAGATTCCTACATAATGAGTCTCATTCAGCAAGGGATTAATGATGGTTATATTACTTCCAAGTTCCTTAAATTTATTCTGGTATTGATCCACAGTCCCAACTTGCATGAGTTTATTAAACTCATCAATGATGTCTTGAGGTCTAATGTTGCCAAATCTCCTACAAACTTCTCTGCAAAATCTCTACCAAGTCATTCTTCCCGTATGGTTCATCACACAATGGGGTCTGCTCTTTCTTTTTTGGGAGAGTATGCCAATATGATCTTAATGAGGTGTGGGGCTTTGCATCTGACATTCGTTGGGATTCTCTCTTCGGGAGCCTTCGCCCCGGCCTTTTTGTGCAATAAACCCCTCAGGCCGAAGACTAGTGGTAGGTGGTCCTGCGGAGCTTTCGAAAAAGGGTAGCCTTGTGTGTAAGCACAACAATGAACCGCGATGAACCCTCAGACGACTTATCTAATATTAGGGGGGATCCTTTGTAGTGGTGACCCTTTCACTCTTCACCCTTTCCCCTAAATGTACTGAAGCATAACTAAGTTTATCCTGCTCAGATATGTTATACAATTCGAAAACTTGTCACAGTTCCCCAACCAGATCCTTGGGTTTTCTCCTTCACACTCAGGAAATTTATTTTTGGTTTTAGGCTTTTATGATTGTGGTAGATTCAAGGACATGAACAATGAGTGTGGGTAGTAATGGGGAAGCGGTGGAATGAGCTGGGTTCCTAAATATTGGTGGGCTTGAGAAGA